CGGTTGCCTCCGGGAAGGAGAAGCGTGCACCACGGTGAGCCTTTCCCCTGGATCTGTCGCTTCTGCAAACATCACTCTGGGCAGCTCTTTAAAAGGAAAGCAAATCCAAGCAGAAGAGTCTGATCCCCAGTAACCAAGCATGGCTAAGATACTGCTGGTAGCATGGTGGGGATTGCGTCTCCCACCTGGTTTCAGCTGGGGAAAGGCAATTGTCTTTTCATCCATTAATGGGAGGCTTCAGAGGAGTAATTTTATTTCAAACTCAAAGAGGAGTCAGTGGAGGGTGGAGCAGGTCACTAGTGAATGGATTATGTTTGATCAATTTCTTGCAGACCTGGCTTTAAAAAGTTAGAGTTTTTCTTTCTGTCTCCCCAGATCTGCCGTCTGTCCTCAGCATCTGTTATGGAGTAATGCCTTTTGATGTGTGTGTGGAAATATAAAAAATGGAATCAGAGCCTGTCATATTTACTTATACTACCAGGTCCCAGGGAAAGCACTTGCTCCTTTCGGTATGCCTACAGCATAGGAAAGGTTTAAAAGCTTCAGCCTGGAATGCAGAGGGGCCATCAAGCTGCACTGATGAATAAATGATTAAAACCAGAGTCATGCAGAGCGCAACCAGTTTGGGGTTACAACAAACATGAGACGAAGCCACCAAGGGCCCCATTTCCCTTTGAAGAGAAGAATGTTTCTCTGCATATTGCTTGAGAGCCATCCGCGGCTCGGTCGTGAGGAGAGAGCGGAGCTCCCATCTCACATCGAGCCCCTCTGCCTCGCCGTCGGGGATTAAGCGGTGTCAGACGTGGGTGCGTGGCCCTGCCTGCTTTGGTGCTCCTGGAGAGTCACAGGAGCTTTTCTGTCCTCGGAGTTAGGCACAGGGGTTCACCGAACGAAGAGCTGCTTCGGCTCCAGCCCCGTTGCTCTCGCAAATGCTCCAAAAATTGCAGGCAGCCCTTTTCCTTGCCGGCGGCGCTACCCGCTTGGCAGTGATCGATGCAAAACACGAACCCGTCTCCCTGATCAAAAGGGAAGTAAAGGGGTGATTTAACCTTGCATTAGGGGCATTGTTACTTTTCAAAAGGTTTAAAAAGAATTCAATAACAACTGAAAATGATACAACAGCTCCATTCTACTATAAAATTATTGCACCTCTCAGTAGAGGCAGCAGCACGGGCTTTCTATTATCTGTTTGCAGTCTGATGGGAAAATCCATGCTGATATTTTTTTCCTTCTCAGCTTTTAGGCATTTTTGCCTGCATCTCTTCTGGCTGTTTTTGAGAGTCCTGCATCAGGAAAAGTCTTGCAAGGTTAAACACACTAAGGGTTGTTGCCACCTTCTTTTTATGCATTAGGAATGCTCAGATCTTGGTAGATTTGGTGTTTTCTGTCTAGTTTACAGCACTGTACATCTCCCTCTGAAAGCAAGGCCTTTGTAAAGAGAAAAAAAAAGTTACTACTCTCTGCTTGCATCTCTTGCTTCAGGCGATCTTAGAAGATCTGGAGGCTGGTTGGGAGTGTTGCTGTATGGAAGGGCCATCTCTTGCATGTTCCTCTGTCCTCCTTCACCATCATGCCATCTGTGTGCTGGAAAAAATATGTGGGAAAAATCTTACAGCTGTGTCTGTTGTTTTGTACCCACTAGTGTAATTTTCTTTTTTTTTTTCCTTTTATTTTTTTTTTTTTTCTTCTCATTTACTGATGGCAAAATCCCACTGGCCAGCTCATGGAATTGCCAAGATATGTTTTTGTGCAGTGGGAGGGGAAGAAAATCAGGAATGTCAGGCTGATGGGAAGGCTCTTGGGAACAGAAGGTCTCCTACTTCTTTGCTGGCTCGGGCAGCCCTGTCTTGTAAGCCTGCCCTGGACTTTTGCTGCTGTTATTGCTGATAAGAAGCTGTTGAAACGTTTTGTTTCTAGCCTTTGTTTATTTTAAAAGGAATCCTGGTCCATGTCCTGAACATATTCCATCAGAATGCTGCTTCCCTTGTGTCTGGTGAGCTCTTGGTGCAAAGTCCGGCAGCCCTGGCACACGGTGCCGTGTTTGCCTCCAGAATCCATGGCTTTTTAAAAGCGCTTGGAGTCCTGAGGTATCAGCTGAGGGAAATAAAATGAAATGATGGGCTGCCAATACCCTGTCCACAGGTAATTGATGTGGTGACGGTGACACATGGGATAACAGAGGGGGAGATTGATGGTGCTGCTCCGAGCCCAGCGGTGTCGGAGGATGCTGTGCGCTGGAAGGGCAAAGCCGGCCTCTTGCTACGAGCCTGTCCAAGCCCCGGGATTGATTGATTAGTCCCAGGTAACGAGACTTTCCCAGATCCTTCTCTCAAACCGTGAAGTTGTAGTTATAAAACAGAAATAGCTGTTACAGCTGGCTGGGCAGTGACAAGCCCTCTGGACAGCTCGGGATCTGCAGAGGGCTTGGGGCTGCCAGCTTCGTACCGCAGCTTGGTGTTTAGTACTGTTAAAACACAGGGGTAGGATCCAGATTTGGCTGAGCAGGAGCAGAGCAGGTGGAGATGTTTGGCTGTCAGCAGATCACCCCGGCAGCTGGTGGCACGAATCCAAAGGCAGCTGCTTATCTTCAGAAGGGGCTGTTGCTGGGGCAAGCCGGACTGACACAGAAAAAGCTGCTGGAGTGGCAGTAGGGAGGAATTTATCTAGAGCAGGAGTTGAGCAGGCGTGTGAGGACAGGGGACTCTGGGGTGCAAGAGGGATCTGTTATGCTTTGCAGTGATGGTTTGGGGTTGTTCTGTGTGGGGTTTGGTTTGGGTGTTTTTTTCTTTGTTTGTTTGTTTTTTTTTTTTTTTTTCTCAAATTCACGTGAAAAATAACTGCTGTGTGTCCAGACTGGAAGTCTGCCTCTGCTCCCCACAGCTGCTCTGGACTTGTGAAGGCACAGAAAAAAAAAAAAAAAAAAAAAAAAAAATCACACAGCAAGAATTGAAGAGCCCCGAGCATCTGCCTCCCTTCAGTTCTTTCAGCACAGTCCTGATCCCTGCTTGCCATCACGTGTGTCTCTCTGCCCAGAGCAACAGCTTTTGGGAGCACCAGGCTGGGGACAGCAGGTCTGTGCATTCAGCCCCTGCCTCCATCCTGCTGCCTCGAATGGGAGAGATACTGGGGGGTTGAAGAGAAAAAGATCTTTGGGGAAAGACCCTGGGAGGAGTGTGGCAGGGTTAGTTCCCTCTAAATGCAATTTTACCGATTTCGGCTTGTTTTAGGGGACCATGCTGGTAGGTGGGGTTTCTGCAAAGGAGTGTGGTGATCCCTCTCCGGGCATGTCACTCATCGGTCCAGGCAAGTCACGATCCTCCTCTGCTTTCCCTGATGCTGACTGGATCTTGCAGCACTCACGTCCCAGCTCCTGAGGTGTCCGGGGGGGTTTCCACCTTGTGCATTTGTCTTACCCCATCGAGGACCATCTCCGAGCTTGGGGGGGCAGCGTGAGCTCCCTTCTCTTCGGTGGGATGGTGCCTTTGTTGGATGTATCCCGCTCTCTTAGGAATAACAGCATGGTGGTGGTGCGGGGTGTTTTTTTTTTTTTAGGAGCTGATTGTTTTGAAGCAGTGGAGTGAGAGACGGGGAGAGGCAGCGCTGGCGCAGCGAAGTAGAAAGTAATGAAATGGAGCCCGAGCGAGCAGGACGGAGGGGAAGGGGGCAGAGTGACAGCATGAAGGAGAATCACTTGTTCACCTTCAATCAATTCCTGCTTTTTCTCGCTGTCGCACGCGCCTGTGTGCAGCTGAGCGTGCACGGGTGGGGAGGGGAGAGGCGGCGTGCGTTGTCAGGAGCTGTTAGAAAATACATTTGTCAACAGCGGGGCAGGGACCGGAGCGAAAGGAAAGAGGCGTCCGTCACCAGAGCCTTTTATTTATTGATGGCTTTGGATCGTTCCTGTCTCGGGAGGAGCTTACCTAGGGGGAAGAGTGGTGAGGTGTGGAAGGAAGGGGCCCAATTGCAATATTTATGGCTCCTACGCATAGCTAACTGCTCCCAGGTGGGGCTGCTCAGCCAGGGCAGCAGCTGGGGGTTAATCTTCATCCCCCCTCAGCAGAGCCAGCTCCTGGAATTTGTCCCCATTTGTAGTTCCCACAGGTTAGCAGGAATTGCAGCTGGAGGATATCAGTCCCACAGGGGCTGTTCCTCTTGGGAAGAGCGAGGTTGGTGTAGTGGCCCTCCTGGCTAGCTGCTGTCTCCTGATTTTACCTGCGGTTTCTGATGGCTGATCTGAGTTTGCTCACCAGAAGATGACCATTTCCATTGCAGTGGAGTCTCACTCCCAGTTCCAGTGCATGATCTCTCTCTTCCCAGCCCTGCCCTCCGTCTTAAAAGCATTTCTCCCTCAAAGGTTTAAGTCTGTGGGCTCCTACCTGTGTATTGTGTTCTTCAGATGTGGCTTAATGTCTTTCCAAAGAAGAGCTTCCATGCTTTGAAAAGCTGGTGGCTTTGTGTAGCCTTTGAAGAGCTGTGCGTGATAAGGGAATTAACTGATTCTGCCACAAGCTTACATCCTCATGAGCAAATTCTTGCCTGTAACATGATGCTACTAAAAAAAAATGTCGTTTCTGTCATCTTGTGCTCACTGAGAGTGAAAGCAGGTGGGTGATCCGCTGGTGGGATGAGAGGTGAATATTGTGCTTTGGGCAGTAAAGGGCATGATGAAGATTGGGAATTGCTGTTCTGGATGTGGATGTGGCACACGCAACAGGCTTCCAGTTGTTTGTACTTTCCAGGAGTCTTAGGTAGCAGAGATTTGACTGTTTGTGACCAGCCCAAGGTGGCTTTGCTTTCGACCAGTCCTGCACCTCAGTTTCCCCTTGCACCGTACAAAGGAGCAGTGGTGGGGCTCGCTGCCCCCATGAAACGTTTGCAGTGTCCTGCCTTGTGAACCTCTTTGAAGATGCTGAGGAGTTGGTGTTGATCGTGCTGATGATTGCTTCCCCCCTACACTTAACACTGAGGTGTAGTTTTATATCTGTTATCTTCCCTTCTAGGTTTGGAAGAAGTTGCTAAGCTCCCAAGCTCCCCGTATCAATGTCTTCATGGCTGTGCCCACTATCTATGCCAAGCTGATAGAATATTATGACAAGAATTTCTCTCAACCGCAAGTCCAGGATTTCGTGCATGCCTTTTGCCAAGAGAACATCAGGTAGGTCAGTGATGCCCCTCTGGGCAGGTGCTGCTGGCAGCTGGCTGTCCCCACGGTGGGTCTGCCGAGGTTTCTTTTCAGCATCACCTCTTTGCAGCGTTGGTTGTTTGTGCGTTAGTGTCTCTCTGACAAGAACCAGGTTGATATTATTTAATTACGAGCCACTCTTGCACGGTAAAGCCAGAAGGGGTCTGTATGCTCTTTATATGTGTCGCCCTACATCACACAAGACTGAGGACTTTGTCCTGCAAGCCAAGTTTGGACTGTAGTATCTCTTTCAGAAAGCTGTCCCATCTTAACTTCAAACCCATATCAGACTGAGAATCTTCCATATGTCAGGAACATTGTTGGTAGCTGTTGAAAGGCTTTTGGGGCTTCTGGCTTGAGGTCTTACATAGGAGCAGGCTTTATGTATCCCTGTGTTAAACTGCAAATTCCCTGGAGCAAAGGTGATCTTGGGTACTTTCTTACACGGGGTTTCCTTGTGCAGGTTAATGGTGTCAGGCTCAGCAGCCCTGCCTGTGCCTGTCTTGGAGAAGTGGAAGAGCATCACTGGGCACACGTTGCTGGAGAGGTATGGGATGACTGAGATTGGGATGGCGCTTTCTAACCCTTTGCATGGAGTCCGCGTCCCAGGTAGGAGTCTCTAGAGGGTGCACACTGTTGGGAGACGTTTGGCTGTGAAGTGATCGTGGGTTCCCTCATCACAGAGAATGTACACCTAATCCCTATTTGTCACGATTGAGGAGCAGGCTATGGTAGGAACCCCTGAGGCTGGTAGGGGAATTGGCTTTGGGAAGCCAGGAGGGAGCATGGGGGTGTGGGAAGTGGTTGGGTGGCTTTCCCTGGGATCACTGGCCACAGTGGACTGGTAAAGCCGTGTGTGCAGAGCTCACAGCAATGCACGCTGGCCCGGCCAGCCAGGCTGGTGCTGTTTGGGAAGCAGAGGCTACACTGATGCTTTATGATGTCCAAAGTCTTAGTTCAAGCGTGGCGGTGGGACTGCATCTTCAGCACCTGCTCTCTGAAATTGTATCTGTGTGTGGTGTTGACACAGGATTCCCCACGCAGCAGTTCATGTCCAACTGAGCAGTACTGAGCATTTAAAATAGGATGTCTGCTCACTCTTATTTTAGTGCAAGTTTCTTGACTCTTCAGGAATTAGAAATTGTCACACCTCGTACACTCTGGTTCTGTTCTCTCCTTGTCTTCCTTCACTTCTCCTAGCTATACTTTGTGACTCCTCTCAATATCTGTACTTTATGTAACCTAGAAATTGATCTGAAACATTAAAAATATAAAATGCCCCCACCCTCCCTTTGGTTAAAAATGTGGCCATCTGTCTGCTGAGCAACCCAGCCCACCACTGTGCCACCTTCTCCTCCCCGCTTGCTGTCTGCGTGTGCATGGCACCGTATGCATCGTCTTGGGGGACTGATGTTCCCCAGGGGGGGCTGTCCTGGGCGTTGTGGCTTCCCACAGCACCCCCAGTGCCCTGGGATGCAGAAGCCGTGCCCCTGCAGGGATGGCACACGGAGAGGAGAAGCCACAGCGGCCCCACACTGGCTTTTCAGCCTGAGAACAGCTCAGGGGCAGCACCAAATAAAAACTCTAGTTTACTTTTGCTGCCATTTCTGTCATTTCCCCCCCACCCCAGCTCAGCCAGACTCCCCTTCCTCCAGAAGCCCCATCCCTGCAGGCAGGAGAGGGAAGCAGGCTGGGAAGCGAGATTCCCACCTGCATGAGCTCAAGGTGTCCATGAGCCCCATGCCACCAGGTGACGGTACAGAGATCACTGAATGTCCCTGTGGCTTGGTAATGTTTGCTTTTCATTCGTCTTCAGGAGAGGAAATGAGTGGAGGCTCTAGAAGTTTCCCAGGAGGCAAAAGGAGAAAGGAAATAAGGCTGAAAATAATGTGGGCAAGACAGATGTTGGCACTCAAAGGCAGCTCCTACTGCAAAGCTGGGTGGCCGTGCTCCTGAACAGAGCTGAGGCAGGGTCCCTGAGGGTACCAGGGTCTGCAGGGGACCTGGGGACAAATCCTCTTGTGCAGCTACACACAGAAGAGCTGGGGATAAAGGCTGCCTGACCGTCACTCCAGCCACCATGCAGTGGCTTGCTGCAGCCCCGAGAGGGGCGAGAAGCATCTCACAAAGGTGTGGATCAGCAAGAGACCTTGCAGAAAGCAAGCTATAATTGAATAGGCTTGATTAATTTATTTCAGGAAGTGTCAGTTGGGAAGCAGATGGGTGAAGCTGAGGCATAATTTACTGGAGCTGTGAAAAAGCTTTTGATACAGTACCCCATTAGAGGCTGGGATGTAAGGTCACCAGGTACCACAGAGCATCCAGCGCGAGGGAGTCAACTGGGAGTCAAATGCAGTGATGGGCTGGGAGCAGAGGCTGGGCAGGAGGAGGAGTGGAGTATCCAAAGACCTCGGACAGCACTGGTGTTACGGGGCCAGATGCGAGGCAGCAGTGACCACAGACCTGCCGGCTGGCCAAAGCCATGACTAGCTTTATTTTGAAACAGGAGCGCCGCAAGCGTGGGGCTTTGCCGCGGGGGTAAGTCCAGGGACCCTCGCACTTGCCAGGGGATTTGTCCTGGAGCGGAGGTGGCACGTGTCCTCCTCTACTGCTTCGTGAGCCTCTGAGGAGAGAGGTCCTGGGCTTTCCTCGCCTGGTGTGGCTGGGGAAGGGTCAAGTCCACGGAGCCTGCCCGTGTCACCACCGGTGACTCTGACAGGGTGGCACTGCTCTCCACCCGCAGCACAGGTCTGAAGGGGCAGGGGCGCGGGAGCTTTAATTTCCAGAAGAAAAGATGAAAGATTTGAAAGATAAATGTTTGCTTGTATATGGTTAAAACCCTGCTTAAAATGCCTCTGTTTTCACCAGCTCTCATTCTAATCCCCCCGGTGCTGTTACTGTGAAGGGAGATGAATAATTCATGGACGGAGGATGCCTCACTGGGCCTAATCACCACTTTAATTGGAGGTTTAGATCAGAGGCGGCTAATAGCTCCTACAGCGGGGACTCCGTGTATTGTTGACAGTGAGATTGTTGAGTGCCTTATCGTTGGCCTGTTTCAATTCTCCCAGGACACCACTGCACATAACAGCATCGAGGTCCCCAGATACTGAAGGACACAGACCGCAAGGCCAATTAAATTTATCTGGGAAGAGCTGACAACTTTTTTAAACAGAGGAGAACCAGTGAAAGAATAATAGTGTCACTCCTTCCTGACTGCAGCCTGGCTGATGCCGGCTGAGCTGACACCACGGGCATGTTGCCAGCATTTCTTAACATTCAGGAGCCTGCAAATTGGAGAGAGCTGGGAGGGGGCGAGAGGGGAAGGAGCAGGGATTTCTCCTCAGTTTCCCCTTGGGATTATGGCTGGGGACAAAAGAAAGCCAGTGCTGAGTGTCGACCCCCTTCTGAACGCCCCTGAATGCAGTCTTGGTGAAGCCAGGACCTCTGGTGCTGTTCCTTTGGGAACAGGCTCAACCTTCTGCTGACCTGTTGGAGTCGGCACGGGGTGTATTTTGACACAGCGGACGGGCCTGAGAAGCTCTAGTCATTGTTTTTGCATGAATTTTATTAATCCTGTCAGGTTCACCTAGCTCCCATCAATGTTGTGAGCGTTTTCAGCCTTTATAGATGTTGATTTCCAGGCTTGTAATTTTTCTGAAATACCAGAAAGCCTTTTCCAGACCGAATATAAAGAAGCAGCTCTCCACAAGGAACTTATTTTACGTGCTGGCTTTACTTAAGCCAAGCAGGAAATAAATTGACGGAGCCGTATTTGTAATTGTCATCTGAAACACTGTGTAGGGGACACGTTGCCTTCTCTGTGTCTTCAGGTTTGCTTGACAGCGCTGTGCTGATCTTTGGTATTTCATTCTCAAAGACTTGAGACTAGAAGCACTAATCATTGAGTCTTGCTGCCCATGAGTCAGTCCGTTACATTTCTGCACTGAGGTCAGTAGCTGGCATTACAGGGAAGAAGCATCTGCCAGGCAGGGATCCATCTGATCTTGATTTTGAAAGCTTCCAGAGGTGGCAAGTCTGTGAGAGGCTGTGGCAGCTCATTGCACTGGTTACTGCTCCCTCCAGGAGCTTTGCAAGACGGACTCTGCAGCGCCTGCCTGTCGTCCCGTGCCCCCTCTCTCAGGCAGGTTGGAGCCTGCTGGCACAGGCCGTTTGTCAGGCTGGGGAAAATCTTCCCATAGAAGTCTGGAAGGTGGCTTCGAGCAAGCTTGATGTGCAAACGCTTGGTGTGTTTTCCGTGACTTGTAACTTGCTTTTTGAGTCCTCCTGGAGGTAAGGGAAGGACCTGGCTGCGTGTTGGCTGACCTGAACGCCGAAGGCAGTTCCGAGCTGAACAGACACACATCACAAGAACTGCCACGTTGCTTTCTGTTTATTTCTTGCCAGATTTGCTAATTGTTCGGGTAGTTTTGCTGCAATAAAAATCTCACTCCCTCATAGCCCATCTGCTCTTAGCTGATCCTGCAGGGATGCCATAAATCCGGGCTACGACGACATATCTATTTCCATGGCAACTGACCAATGTAGCAAACAAAATCATGATGTCACAGATAACGGATCTCCAGGGCTCGGAATGAGAGAATGAGACCAGGATAGGGAAAATGCCACTTGAACCCAAATGCCTGAAATACAGAAAACAAGGGGAAGACAGTGCTGAGCTCCAGGTCCTGCACACCTTGCTTTGAGGACTTTCCAGTATCAGGCTGATCCTGCTGTACAACCAGCAGAGCTAGAAAGCATCACTAACTGAGGGCTCTCCAGGGGGGAAAAATTGATCATCTCTTAAAATAAAGAGTATATTTACTGATTTAAAGTCAGACCTGTCCAGTCCTCCTGAGCCACAGGTTGCTCTATGCTGATGTCCCTCTCCCTGCTCGCAGGAGATGAAAGTCACGGGCGTCATCTTGCAATGAGAGCCGTCTCGTGCCGTTGAGATGCAGAGTGAAACCTGCTGAGCCAGCAGATGCCCACAAATCCCGGTTGCTGCTAAGTCTGGAGCCCCTGATCAGACAGAGGTCGCAGGAACAAAGCTGCCCTTTCTTCTGTGCTTTCAGATGCTCGCCAAGAAGAGCATGCACTAAACCAAGGGGTGGGAGTGCTGCAGGTTGGGGAGCTCTGGGTCGCAGAACCATCTTGGAGCTTAATAGTGGTGGTTGTTTGTGACACTGTGTCAGATTCCACTGGCTTTGAAAATTGAAACCTGTGGAAGAACGGTGTGGTTTTGATCTCTGCTTTTCTCCTACGGTGTTTTATATATGGTGTATTGATGTCTCATAAACCTGAGATAATCCCTTGCAATTCTCCCACTGTTAAGCCTTTGCCTTCTCTGTCAGGTCCAGGCTATAGAGAAGCAGTGAGCGTCTGTAGTAATCATTGTGCTCTTTCTTTTCACATCTTTGTGTAGGTTTCATGGTGCTTTTTTTTTTTTTTTTTTTGTAAGACAGCTTCATTACTGAGCTACGAAGCTGTGCTGATGTCTTCAAAGACTGGCCAGGAGAGACTGTTCAGGGCTAGAGACACATTTGTTTTCCTAGGCATTTCCAACACTGCCTGCTCAGCGAACAACGGCGTATTGCACCGCAGTGACATTTGCATGCAGACATACGATGTGATCGAAGCCTTCCTGAAGGGTAACCCCCTGCTAGGAAGTTCTTTAGTGCCAGCACAGTCTGCAGATGCCGTTGATAGACGAGCAGCTGCTCTTTTGCAGCCTTGATTTTGTTGTTTCCCAGAAGCTGTCCCCTGTTTCAGTCCTGTTTTCCTTTGTAGGTTCTGTGGGCACCCCGCTTCCAGGGGTGGAAGTGCGCATTGCCACTGAGACCTTGAAGAATGGTGGTCGTTCCTACACCATCCATGCTCAGGGAGATGAAGACAACACACAGGTAGTGCTCAGCTGTGTTCTCTGCTGCTTCGTTCTCTCTCATGAGAAGTTCTCTCCTCCCCAGCCTTTTGAATCCCCAAGGACTGAGGCTTGCACTGCTATTATTCTCAAGAGCTCAGTGAGGCTACTTAGAGTTTTCTCTTTTTTTGTGTTCTTTTTATGGGTTACTATAGCCGTGGTATTTTATGGACCGCACAAGTGTTGTCCTTGCTGCATAGATGAACAACATCTGAGAGAGAACAACACCCCCTGCCTGGGAGTTCGAGGTGAAGACTTTGGTATAAAAGCTATGGGCTACGGTAGAAGAAAATTATATTGTGCCAGCTGAGGCTGTTGATGCCCCAGAGGAAGGTGATGAGTTAAGCAGTAACTTTGAAAGCCAGAACAAAAAGCTGAAGTCTACTGCAGCAAGTAAGAGCAAGGCATGGAAGGGAATTCAGGTGGACCCTACTCTGGTCTATAGTCACTAAGAATATCTGCAATCTGGAGGAGAGGGTGAGTGATTTCTCACCCCAGAAGTAGGAGCTGTGCTTATTTCACTGGGTTGGATTAGGGGTTTAACAGTGAGAATTGGCAGGGCAAGCCTTGGGGGTTGCATTCACTTTTGAACGGTGGCGGGAGGAAACCCGTCAGGTTTCCATGAAAGTTCAGCTCCGTGCTGAGCTCCAACTGCCAAGTGATATCTGCACCAGCAGTTCCAGTATCTCAGAAGTCACCTATCCTGGATGGTGAAGCATTTGGGCCCCTTTCCCCATGAACTGCCCCCGTGTTGGGGTGCTGTGTGTTCCCTGCTGCAGAAGCAGCCCCCAGCCCAAGGCCCGGGGTGTCCTGCTGCTTCAGCCCCTTTCCCTCCCCGCAGAAACGACCGAGCAGGGCCTGAATTCCTGCCACATCTCCTTTGCACCCGCATTGTGGGTGCAGGTCGCGTCGCCTCGGGCAGATCAATAGCCAGGTGATGTACGGGCCCAGCTGAGGAGATAGATGCTGTTGTGTGCAAGAGAAATTACACCAGCAGCCGTGGGCACTGTGTGGGTGGGAGACAGGCAGGCATGAGATTCAACCTGGAATACATGGCCTCACTCATTCCTCTGGGGAAATCGCTTCTCATCTAGCTACATACATGCCGAGGGTTCGAAAGGAGCTTCCCGGTCTGCGGCAGGGTATACCGGAGACACTGCTGGTGTAAATGCTGGTGAAAGGCTTGAGAAAGCCTTTTTTTTTTTTTTTTTTTTTTCCTTAATTATCTGTGCTGGAAGGTGGAGGAGCCAGTGGGACCATGAGCAGCCCCGTCTGTGGGTCGTGGTCAGGCTGCAGCAGGTTGTGCTCTGCGTTCTGATGCCGTAATGGAGCACTGGATCCCACCCCAGACATGCAAAATGAGCCCAGGGGAGAGCTGAGAGGGACCACTCTGGCCAGGGACGGTGGCTTTTCTTTTAAAAATAATAAAAAAAAAAAGGTTTGCTGCTCTTCACTGTGTGTCACTGCTGTGGCGTGGCTGAACAGTGGGCAAAGCAGGAGACCGGGAGCAGCCGTTCCAGTGCAACACTCAGCACGTAGGAAGCCACATCCCATTTTTATCACTTCCCTGGATGAGCATTATGCTTTATGGTTTTGTCCCCTCATCCTGGGGTTAGATCTTAGCCTTTTTCTTTTTCCACTGAGACATGAAATATAATGTGTCCATTTTAATAATGTTCCTATAATGCTTTTTTTTAGCCTAGGCACTTTACAAATTAGGTCTCAGACACGTGAATCCCCAAAGTGCAGCTACTTCCAGGATAAAATGTGGACATTGTTCTTCTGAATTATGGAAGGAAAAAAAATATGTAATTTATTCTTTTTCTGCTCAATACTCCTTCCCCTTCTTTCTGGTTGTATTGAGTGACCGGAGAAGAAGGGGAGCCCAGATGACCTGTGTTTGGTGCTGGAAGCCCGCCACCCCCCAGGGCTTCAGAGAGCTGAGACTCACATAACTCTTCTCTGGCTTCAGGCTGCTTAAGTTTGTATTTGGGGCAAAGGAATTGCCCTTTTATCCCATCGTTTCTCACATACACCCTTCAGCCCCCAGTGCGGGTGGCTGAGGTCCGTCCCGATGTCTCACAGTGCTCCTGGGAGCTCCCACCAGCACTGGTGTTGGCCCCACGCCCCTTGCTGATGGTTGACTTTCCGTCAGGCTCCCCCTTGGGTTGTATTTTTTTTTTTTTTTTTTAATGTTCTGGTGAATTCTCAAGACATCAGCCAGGGAGGGTGTGGGGAGGTGGTAGAGTTTTCCTCTGGGCATTGGCTGATGGGTTGGTTCCCCTCGGAAGGGCTGTTCCCATCTCGCCCACCTTGCCCCTTATCCCAGCTTAACTGGGAGTGTTTCTTCAGGCTGAAGGGAGAGAAATGGTCCCGTCTGCTGTGAGCCACCCTAGGGGACAGTGGCTGGCTGGGTACCTCCAGGACACCCACAGCATTTCCAAGAGCAGAGCCGAGCTGCCTGCCTCTGTCCCTGGGACTGTCAGAAGGGCCGTGGCGAGGTGGGAAAAACAGTCCTCACTCTCAGCGTGTCTTGGCAGGGACAGACGCGGGGAGGTGCCAGGAATTGGATTTTTATATGGCCTGGGTACAGAGTGTGACTTTCCATCGCGTGGCCACACTGGCGGGCAGGTGGCAGTCGTGGTGGCACACCTCTTCTCCCAGTGACGGTGTAATTTAACTGCTTCACACCTGTGGTTGCAGACAGCAAACCTCACCTGCTGCCTGTTCCTGCCCTGAGATGCTGCTGCTGGCACACCGTGTGCATCATGCTTGGTTAATAATTTATGTCAGAAGAGGGTACGTCAGTGGAATTTATTTAAAACAAGTTGGATCTGACAGTCCGAGCGCTCATCACGCTTCACCGGTCAAAGAAAAGCCTGGCTTTGTTTAAAATCAGCTCCTCCATGGCAGAGGGGCTGTCCCCAGGATGAGAAGACCCAGTCGGTGTCATCCTCCCTTCCTGGGCTATCGGACAACCCCGGTGTGGCCTTTTCCTTGCCTCTTATGAGAAGGGATAAACAAATACTTCCTTGCTTCCCTTGCAGGAGGGCTCCGAGGCTTCCAGCATGTTGGTTTTGGGGCTGGGAGGTCTGTGGTGTGGGGCATCCTCAGCCCCATCCCTGCTCTGGGCACTTATTTCTGGTTTTGATGCTATGGGAAGTTACCAAATGTCACGTAACGGATCGCTGCAAATAAACACCTCCCGGCAGGCGGGCGGGCAGAGGGAGCACCTGCCTTCTGCTTCAGTTCTCAGGCCAGGGACCTCTCCCCGTGCACGGAAAGCGCGGTGCACATCTGCACAGATAATAACGAAATCGCCAGACTGGAGCCGGCCCTGGCCATGCCGTGGGGCAGCCGTGCCCGGCAGCACGGCGGGGCAGATCTGGCGGGATGCTGAGCACCCCGGTAGGAGTTTGGGCTCTCAGCTGCTTCTCACCGGCCCCTCGGCTCGTGCGAGCAGGTGATCTTCGTGCCGGGGGTTAGGCGCGTTGTCAGGGCAATCTGCGAGGCGTTCACACCTCGGCTCCGCTGTGCAGAAACCCTCCTGACTGCGAGCGGAAAGAGCTCTTGCTTTTGCCAAGGAAATTATTTGCTTAGCTGTACAGAGCCTCGCAAGGTCACCGCCTTCCCGGCTCGCGTTGGGCTGAGGTTTCTGCCTTCTGCTCCCTCTCGATAACAGAAGACAACAGACTTCCTTTGAGCTGTTTCTTCCCCACTAACACTGTCTCTCCCGTTAGATGCTGGGGCTTCGCGCCGTTCCCTTTCACGCCTTCGCCCTTTGGGCACGTTTGCGGGTCCTGCCTCAGTGAGGTGCTCGGGTGGTGGCAGGAGCGGGGAGGTGGGGAGCGTTTCTGCTTTGCCATCCGGTAAGTGCCTCAGCTTGCAGCAGGGGACTGCTGTAATTTGCAAAGCTGGTTTCTGGCACACCCTGAAGATCAATAATCTACTTAGCTGAAAGTTTGCTGGATCTCTGTTCTTCCCTTCATTTTCTCCCGTCCCTTGATTAGAGTGCTGGATTCCTTTCACGCCCGTGCTCCGGCCCTCCGATCTCCTTGCAGCTCTCATGAGCCTTGTGCTCCGTTGCGTCCAGTTTGCTCCAAGTTTTCTAGCCGGCTCCCGTGCCTCTTCCTTGCTAATCGTTGCTGCACCCCGGGGCTGCGAGCTCCATTCCTGAGCTGACACGGAGCCGCGCCCTGCCTGAAGCCGCACTGTCACTGCCGACATGGAGACGAGGTGCTCCAGCCTGACGAGATCCCCCTGGGTGCGCGGTCTGTTCCCAGCCGAGGATGCTCTGCAGCCTGGTGTGGGACTGGGGCAGAGCGGGCAGGCGGTGGCACTCCCCGCCAGAGTCACAGCGCCTGCGCCCTGACACAGTGTGTGTGTGTGTGTGTCCCCAACCTCCCCGCGCAGGAGCGTGGGCCCGTGGAGAGACGCTGTCCTTCGAGTGCTCGGGGGAGCTCTTCTCCTCCGATACATCCCTGGGGAGCAGAGGTGTGGAAGCGGCTGTCAGGGGACCGCAGGAGCTTTGCCAGCTTTTAGCCATCCCAGCTGTTGCTCCTGGAGCCGCTCGCATCCAAAGCAGTTCCTAAACTTTTAACCTACTTAAGCAGTGTGAGCCCCTCCGACCACACAGGCAGCCTCATAATCTTTACCCAGGGCCCTGGGTGCTTTTTCTCCTGGTCTTTTTTCCCCTTAACTTTTTGGCAGCCTGGGGATCTCCCTCTCGCCATGCCTGGCTCCGGCGCGCAGGAAAGGGTTACAGCACTGAACGTTTCGGTTTGCTTTGTTCAGTGCAATGCATATTTCATACGCTTAGCTTCCCAGCTGGCAGAGGCCTAGAAACCCTGCAAGCTGTCGGGTATTGTCTCTCTCCTTCTTTATTTGTTTGTTTGTTGGTTGGTAGGTTTTTTGGGTTGTCATTTTTGCTGGATTTTTTTTTTTTTTTCTTTTTTTCTCCCTTTTCCAAATTGCTCGCTCGCA